AAGTCGGCCGACAAGTTTTGAATCATCGACCACCCACTTTCTCGGGAGAAGAAGATCCCGCAATCCTTGAGGAATGGATTCGGACCTTCGACAAAATTCTAGGGTTGGTAGAATGCCCAGAAGAACGTCGTGTAGAAATAGCCTCGTTCTATCTACATGGAGTTCTGCAAGACTAGCAACCGGCTTAGTCTACCTTACGGGATGATCCTAAGTTGGATCATGGAGAAAAAGGGAGTGGACCTGAGCCACACAGAGATCAAAACCGCAAACGGCATGGTTTTCAATGCCCAAAACCTCCGTCGCAATGACATCTACTACACCGAAGGGGGACAACACATCACCCTCGAGGAGGTTTGCCTTAAACCCGAGGAGGAACTAAGGGAATTGGTTGATCAACTAGATATCTCCAACATGAAGCTTAAACGGGCAATGCAAGAATGTGGGGGACTGGTGGGAAATGAGGAACAAGAGGAGGATAGCGAGCCTAATCCACCGGCGCCCGCACAAGCAAGGGGAAACCCAAGGGGCCAAAATGAAGAATCCATCAACGAGCGCATCCTCGCACAGCTCACCCCGCAGAACCAAATCATGGACGAAGGGTTCTCAGCCCTAATCCACGCAACACGCGCACTAGATCAGAGGGTAGCAGCAATCGAGACCATATTGGGCACTCGCGGGGCATCCAGCTCAGGAGCAGGAAACCAAGGTAGACCCGAACTTTCCAACCACCACCTCAGCAGAAATCCAGTCTACCCCAGCAAAGACAACACGTGGAGCCACATTTCCTAATCAGGACGCCAAAATACGTGACGTCCAAGGGTGAAAGAATGGATCCACGCACCGACTTCGGGGACGAAGCCTCTTGTAAGGGGGGGGGGGGGGGAAGAGTGTAACACCCCGTGTTACAACCCCTAAACCGAACTAATTAATTAATTACTTACCCTAAAAAGGGAATTAAAATCCATTAATTAGCTAAAAAGGGGTCCACCATAGTCCATGGACCCTTATCCCTAAAACCAACCCCTTAGTCCTATAAGGAATAGAATTGGCAAGCTCATACCATTTAGACCCTAATTAGGACTCTTAGATATATAAATAGGGACATAAGAGGCACCTAGAACTCACACCATAATAACTTTCACCACACAAGAATTTCCAAGAATTCCCATAGGAGAAATCAAGAAAGAAGAAATCTTAAAGAAAGACCCTTCATAGCCAAGGAATTTAATTAAGGCTAAGAGGTAACCCATGTCTCAACAAAACCTATTTTCCTTGCAATAATCCTCTTCTTTGGCTCCCCATTCTATACTTGTGTCTTGACGAAATCTTTTATGATAATTGTGATGTGATCTTTATAATTGTTGTGGTGATTTTATGTGCGACCTTGATGTTCTTGATGATGATATAAGAGGTTCTTGATAATTGTGAGATGTTCTTGATGGATCTTGATATTCTTGACTTTTAAAAATAATACATGATTTTGTGATCTAAATATGATTAGAGCCCTAGGTTGAATCATGAATTTCATATTGGGATTTTCTTGGCATATTTGGGTGGGAATTCGCATGCTCGGGTGTTAATTGTGTCTAGAAGTCATGATAGGTTGTGTTATGTGATGCATGATACCCCAATTTGGTTGCGATCAAATGGGTTATTCCTGAGCTGCAGTTCAGAAGTTGGCTGCGGTCAAATTGGTTACTCATGAGCTGCGGTTCATTCTCCTGGCTGCGGTCAGTGATTCACTTCTTGGGCTACAGCCCGCATGGGCCTCGTGTGCTATGGTCCACCGACTGAATCGCGCCAGCGGTGTGTAGGGCCACTAGCCTGAGGAAGGCCATAGCCCACCGAATGAATGATCAGGCGGTGTGTAGGGCTATGGTCGGCTGAGATCCACCGAGTGATGGGCCAGCGGTGTGTAGGGTCGTAGTCTTCGAGGATCATCGCCCACTGAATGAGTCCCTCATGCAGTGTGTAGGGCTTGATCCGCTACGATCCATCGACTGTGCTCGTTACACGGTGTGTAGGGTCGCTGTCCCCAAAAGAGGATCGCAGTCCACCGGCTGAGCGCATCAGCGTTGTGTAGGGCTGCGATCCGCCGTCGAACTATCGGTGGTCTATACGGTTGGTTGCGATCAACCCCTTCATACTGCGGTATGAGGTAGGGTGCTGCGGGGCCGCGTTAGTGCTATATGCACTAACCCTCATGTTCGAGGTATGCGATTGGTCTCGTGGCGCCACCAAAGTGTGCTTGTGTGATAAGATGATGATTGAATGATGATATGAATGATTTGAAGGTGAACTGTGACTTTAGATACATGTTCTTTAGGATATATGCTAGTATCTTCATATGCATGGTTATAATTATTGATTGTGCTTGTCCCTACTTGATTGAGTCTATTCTCGGTTGTAAAAGTTAGAGTCTCCTAAGTACATATCTTCCTGCTTCAAAATGGTTTTCGTATATATATATATATATATATATATATATATATATATATATATATATACCTATAATGTATTTCAATGCGTTGGAGTGGGTTACCAGCATCACTCGCTGAACAGATATATTTGACTTTTTGGCACAGACGATTAGCTTCCGGAGCGCGCTAGAAGGACTTGGATTAGATAGATACTTTTCTCCTTTCGACCTACGTGCCCATGACTTTGTATTGAGGATATTTAGTTAGTTTAGCCTGTGCATCTGAGTTCTCCAGCTCAGATGTGGCATAGCACTCCGCACACTTATGATTAGTAATGCTCTGTTTGGGATTTTATGAGAATTCACCTTTATTATATAAGTTTTAAAAGTTTAAAAATTTCAGTGTTACACCGGTAGATTGAACTTTACCATGTTCTTAAGACAAAAAACAAATGTGCATTCCAACTTTCTCAACAACCGGCTTTTGTTGTTAGTAGTAGTTGCACCCGTGCGATGCACGGCTATATGTATAGTATAATCTATATACAGTATAAAATATTGTTTTTGGAGATGTAATAAATTTGAAATGAAAAAAATTGTAATTTTATTACACATTGTTAAAGACTTTTTTGTACAGAACATTTTTTGTTGTACTTATACATGTTACTTTTTCGCCACAAATCAAAATTTTTAAACCTATTGGGTTACTAACTCTTGAAATAGCTAAGTACATTTGGTCATGGTTAAAGACATGTTTTTTCAAAAACAATTCAACTTTTGAAAGTGTTTGTCTTTGGCTTTTGTTTATTGCCATGGCATAGGATAGCATCAAAGGAAATTGCTTTCGTTGGAATTTGAAAGGCAATCTTGGATCTGACGGTGTTAGTGACATTTTGAGAATTAAAAGCTTAGTTCCTGCATTTGTACCGCACATGATCTGGGCTTCCAACACGTGATCAGCTAACCTTGTAACAGTTTCAAAATTATGAACCTACAGTACAGAAATTAGAAATTTATACAGTTTGATACATAATTTGAAAACTATATAGTTTAGAAATTATGAATCTACAGTACAGAAATTATAAATCTACAGTAGACATGTTATGAATCTACAGTATATAAATTATGAATCTACTGTATAGAAATTATGAATCTACAGTATATATTTTATGAATCTACAATATATAAATTATGATTCTATAGTATAGAAATTATGAATCTATAATATATAAATTATGAATAGGAAATGTGTGCATCTTGCATGGCGCACACAGTTGCACAACATAACGTTCCATCCTAATCCTAAGTATAATTTGGACAAAACGTTTCGCCTTCTTCATTTTGCAGTCCACGCTACGCCTTCTTCGTTATGCATATTTTGATTGTAATGCTAACTATTCGAAATATTACTTAAAGATAATCTGTTCACAATTTGTTCACTCCACGTCGCCCTGATTGTCGTTTGCACAAACGCCGAACTTGAGCAAATAAATAATAGATTATAAACTAACTCAGAAATAATGCAATGTCATAATATTTAACAAAATATTAATCTTACCATTAGTAACAACACTTAAAGGTGTACAAAGTGAATTTTGAAATACATTAAATGCATGTCCTTTATTGGTTGGATGAGCGTAATTATTCATGGAATACGGGTCAAATAGGCCACTCAATTGCACACCAAAGTGCAATTAAGTCATCGAACTAAAAAAAAAAATGTAATTAAATCTTTGAACAACACAAATACATGCAATTAGGTCCAAAATGATCTGTTTACATTAAACTTTGCTGACGTGGTAGTTGCGATTTTTTAAAAATAATTTTTAAAATAATTTTAAGTACAATAAATTTTTTTTTTTTAAATAATAGCACGGTCGGAGATGAACCGTCTCCGGCCCGCTTCATCTCCATGGCTGGAGACTACCGACCATGGAGGAGACGAAGAGACTCAATTTTAGTAATTGTATGAATTTGTGTTGTTCAAGGACTCTTTTAGTTTGATGGCCTAATTACACTTTAGTGTACAATTGAGTGGCCTATTTTACCCTTATTATATTATTCATTGATGACATTATAATATTTTCATTAGCCAATGTGTTTTCATTTTCTACATGAATAGCTTAGTAACGACAATGATTAACACCGAATACATTATATAATAAATATAATGTGTAAAAAATTTAAAAAAATACATAACGAATTGTCTCCAAACCTATTTAGTAATGTTTTCAATACAAAATCTCTATAAATAATAAGTAAGCACCAAGTATTCAAAAAATAAGTAAGTACCTCCAATATTTAAAAATAAATATAAAAATATTAATAATATAAACAACATCCATATTAGTGTAAAATTGGAACCTTGTGGTGCCCCATTAATTGTAAATTAATTAATTAATTAATAATAATAATAATTAATAATAATAATAATAATAATAATAATAATAATAATTATTATTATTATTATTATTATTATTATTATTATTATTATTATCTAGAAATGGGGAAAGTATACTGTCCATGCTTCTTCATTTCTTGAGTATTTTGTCTCTCTCTACGGGAAGATAGATGATACGGGAAGATAGATGATGAAGAAATTCGAAACTTCTCACTAAAAATTGAACCATTCCGGTCAATTATTCTTGCTTTCTGAGTGTTAAATCACTATATCTTGTCCGAAATCTTTGCTTTCAGACTGGATCGTTTGATTTTGTTTGGGTTAAATCCCTACGTGTTGCCGGAATTTTCGAACTTGCATGTCCTAGTAGCCGGACAACGATCTTCCTGGTAGCTCAGAGTTTATCTTCCCGGCTAGTAGACGTACAACTCTGATCGAGTCTCAGGTTCCGTCCGAGTTATAGTCGTAAATCGTTTCATGGTTTTTTTTTTGTTTAAGATAAGTTATTTTTTTCCTAATTTATATTGATTTTGCATTTTTTTTTTTTGCCCAAAAACAGTACTATTCTAATGATGCTCTTATTTGAATTACGTTTTTTATAATTTAGGAATAATATTTCGTAAACACTCTATTTGGGGGTTTTTAGCTAGTAATTGTCAGAATCATAGGTTTTTTCTGTGAATGAAATAATATATATACTTTTTTTTCCATCATATTGAACATGCAAGCTCACAAAGTTATTTATGAATACATACATATTTCAGTGCAGCCAAGAAGACCATATATACAACCAAGAATGACAAAGGCATGGAAAGATCATTTCAGAAGCTCAAATAAGTTGTAACTGGTAAAAATCTAAATTTAAACTGATGTGGTGTTATGTTACCTTTGTCTAATATGCTATGCTTCCTCTTGCTGCCTAATAAGTGAACCAAATATTTGCCTCATACTGTTGTTTTTTCATTCCAATTGCTGCAAATCTGTGTTTTTATAGAATCACATTCTCATTTGCAGTTTACATGCTTATAAATAAGTAATGATTACTTTCAAATTTCATTTACAATGACACAGAGTTCTGATGCCACAATGATTACTGTTGTTTCAAATTTCTTGGCATATGATGAAATAAGAATTCGGATGCCATAGGTTTAAGTTTAACTGTTTTATCACAAGTATTGATAGCATAAGATGAAAAAATTCAACTATATCACTCACATGTTATTGTTAATTTTGAAAAAAATTTACTGTTGGCATATGATGAAAATAGAATTCTGATGCCATTCTCAAGATTTCTGTTCCTAAAACTTTGTATGGAAGATGAGGATTATAATTAATCTTATGCCTTTTATTATTATTATTATTATTATTATTATTATTTTCTAAATGATCTTGGATTACGATCACCCTGTTCATACAGTAAATGGTAACAGCAAATAAGTTGCCATTGACTGTCTGATGATCTGTAATTTCATCATGTTCAGACAGTGTTTTTACAGCAACTCAGTTGCCATCATGTGATCTGTAATTTCAGCATTCTCTTGCAATAAGCTGATTTTATTCTGTTTGCCAAGTTATGTTTAACATGGTTTATAATTGGCTAAATTTGTTTTGAGTATAATTTAAAGAATAGATTGGAAGTACATAAGTAGTAAAGAAAGCATTTACAAGACAAAATATATCTAAGTGTTGAATCCCCAAGCCTTCAGCTCTTGAGTCCTTCTTTAGGTTGTAATGCCTTGAAATTTCATTCCAGCCTTATTTAGTAGAAGTCTTCAATCTTCGCTGTAACAAATACCACTTGAAAACAAAGTAAAACATTAGTGATCAAGATATATTCTTCCAAGTGCAAAAAGGATAAAGAGTTAATGACCACAGAAAAATACACAGTCAACAAAAAACAGTAACAGAATAGTAGTTGCAATTCATGTTGATAAATTTTCATATGTCCAAAACTTATGTTTTACAAAGTATGTTTAGTATATTTTTAAATGTAAATGTGTTACTTTTATTACAGGGTATGTTCTATAATTATTTGATTTTTTGTAATTAAAACCTGTCGCTTTTTTCTAATTTGGACTGCATTACAACTGTACTGCAGTTGCTGGTTCCTTGACATTTGAACTGCATCCCGAACTGAGTGAACTTCGTTTTTAGACACACAGATTACATATACTGCTAAAAAAATCAACAGTAACAGTAACTTATGATATTAAAATACTGAAGCACTACATAATGCCGTGAAAAGTGCTCTCAAATTCAAATAATTCATAAACTCCAATCATCGCAATTATTTTATTCATTCTTTATGAAATCCAGCTTAGCCTTCTTAAGTTCCGAGTTTACAAAAATTGATGCATTAGGGATCTTTAAATTGAGTTTGTTTGATCCTATTTTCATTCTTTTACTGCCCAGATTCTATTAATAAAACTGAGTTTCAAGAAATTCAATTTTACATGAGAAAGACCCAATTTTCTACCACTTTCAAAGCATAATAGGTGTATGCAGAAGTCATAAGGTTTTTTTTTTAAATTACCCATAAGTGTAAAAGAATGACTACTTCTTGAGATTTGTATTCTGGTTGACTATGTTTTGATGTCTTATAGTTTTCTTTTGTATGTACAACATAAGATAGTCACATGGAAAGCAGAGCTCAAAATCAATTTTTTTTTAAAGACAAAAAAAAACACTTCTATACTGCAGAAGATAGTCACACTGTGAAAGATGGCTTTCAGGTATGAATCCAAGCCCAAATTGTTTTATGTAAATCAAGCCAGATCGGAGTTTGTCTTGAACTCAAGAGTGTTTGTTCAACTATGAGGTATATGTTTGTTCAACGAAATTTTGACGGATTCTGGTATATACAAATATATATATATAATTAAAATATATATATATATATATATATATATATATATATATATATATATGCACATTTACATGTGCAATTTTTCATTCATTTTGCCTTTCATTCAATTATGCCTTTAAATCAATTATATAATGTTCTTTTATAATATGCAGGCTATGTATCTATAAAATAATAGCATATGTGGTTCAAAAATGAGAGATTGATATCCTCAGCAACCCAAGTGTAACACCCCCCAAACAAGACCTATATAAAAGCCTTAACACATGCAGATTAAACAACAAAACTAGCACAGCGGAAGATAAAACGAAAACTGGATAAAAGAAATTCGAACGGGGTGTCACGCCACGTCTACCAAACACGGTAAACGCTACGTCAAACAATCTGCAAGTGTATACATCTATCCCAAAAACATCAATCTAAAACTACATGGGCACACAGGCCACAAAACAAGGATGAGGGCACTAAGTTACCAGGCACTAGACATCGCGCTCGTCTAAACATCACCTGAAAGATACAAAGATAAACATTGGGACGACGCTCGGTCAGCGATAATTGCTGGTAACCCACTAATACATGTGAAATATCATACATAGATAGATATGATGGGTAAAACCATTTTCGAAACGGAATAACAACAACTCATCCATATCTCATCACATAGCACACATTGTTGGCGCCACAGGACCAATCGCATGCCCATACATGAGGTTCAGCGCATATAGCTCTGACACGGCCCCGCAGCACCCTGCCCCGTATCGCAACACAGAGGGGTCGATCGCAACCAACCGATGAACCGCAGCTCATCATAATTTGATCGCAACCAAACAGTGGACCGCAGCCTAAGAGTATGTCATCTGACCGCAGCCAGGAAATATGAACCGCAACTAATGTAGAAACGTTTGATTGCAACCAAACGGTGGACCGCAGCGCTATATAATATTTATATACCTGACCGATCGCAACCGGCCTGGTTAACAGTCAGTATGGTTCTCAACCCATCCAACTGCCCGTATAACCAATTTGATCGCAACCAAATTGGGGTATCATGCACACATAACACATAGCAAGCACATGCAACCACATTAACACATTGGGAAAGGGGGAGAAAACGTATAACAAAACCTATGCGTGATCCTTCACATACTAAGAATAATCCTAAGGGGTTCATACTTCTTTCACCTAGGTCAACGAGATACCAATTCAACTAGCATGCAACATATAAGACTCATACAACCTACGAATGGTACTCGAAATATCAAACTAGACATAGGCACGATAGACGGAGTCCGTTGGGACACCACGGGGGTCGGGGGAACATCAAACGGGAAGCCGGAAACCCGAGGTAGGGTATTTTCCAGCGGGTAGCCGGTGGGTGAGGGTTCACCCGCTGGCTGCCCGCCGGTGGCGTGACTCCGGGCAGTGGGTGCCCGGCGGGCAGCTGCCCGCCCGCCGGCTGCCCGCTGCCGGCGTTGCCCAAATAGGCCGCGGGTAGGTGGTGGGTCCCCTACCCCCACCTACCCCCCATTGGCTCTTTTTCATAAAAAACGCCCCGAGAACCTTTGTGGAACCCGAAACCATGCTTAGACACCTTCAAACGCAATTGATAACACACGTAGACAATTAACAGATCAAAATCAAGAAACATACGGCACATAACCTATCATGCTTTTCTAAACATAATCAACACCTAAACATACAAATACCCACCCAATCTACCAGGAATAATACCATACGAATTCCACGATATAACCTAGGGTTCTAACCATTTTTAAATCAACAAGTACACGATCCATCTTCTAATATCAAGATTCGGTAGGAATATCATATAAACATCAAGAACATCATATAATCATCAAGAACATCAAGAACACCATATAATCATCAAGAACCTCTTATCATCAAGATTACCCATGGAATCATAACACCAATTATCAAGATCATTATAACGAATCATCAACACACAAGAATATGGGGGAAATCCTAAGAGGGGAATCATAGCTATGAAAATAGGTTTTGTTGAGACATGGGTTACCTCTTAGCCTTAATTAATTCCTTGGCTATGAAGGGTCTTTCTTTAAGCTTTCTTCTTTCTTGATTTCTCATAAGGGGATTCTTGGAACTCCTTGTGTGGTGAGAGATTATTGCGGTGTAGGATTTAGGTGCCTCCTATGATCCTATATATATATATTCCTAAGAGTCATAATTGGGATCTAAATACTGTGGGCTTGCTAATTCCATTCCTTATAGGACTAAGGACTTGTTTTAGGGATAAGGGTCCATGGTCCATAGTGGACCCTATTAATTAATTAAAGAGAATCCTAATCATAATCTGAATAGTAAAAGGCCTACTTCCTTTATTCCTAATAGATAACTAGGTCTAGGATTCCTAATTAGAATCTGAATAGTAAAAGGTTTATTTTCTTTATTCCTAATAGGCTTAAGACTCTAATTTAGGCAAGGGTCCACGGTTCATGGTGGACCTTATTAATTAATTAAAGGAAAACCTAATCGAATTAAATCATATTTAATTATTATTGTAACACCCCGAAATTTTGAAACTTTTAAAGCTTATATAAAGGGGTAATTTCTCATAAAATCCCAAATAGAGTAATACTAATAACAAGTGTACGGGGTGCTATGCCACATCTGAGCTGGAGAACTCAGATGCACAGGCTAAACTAACTAATATCCTCAATACATTATTATGGCACGCAGGCCGAAAGGAAAGACTATCTATCTAATCCACGATCTTCTAGCGCGCTCTGGGATCTACTCGTCTGTGCCTGAAAGCCAAATATATCTGTTCAGCGAATGATGCCGGTAACCCACTCCAACGCGTTGAAATACATTATAGATAGATATATATAGATTATGAAAATCATTTTGAAGCAAGAAGATATATACTTAAGAGACTCTAACTTTAAAACCAGGAATAGACTCAGCAAATAGGGACAAGCACATTAATCAATGATAAACAATTAAGCAGAGTAAACATCATAAGGAATACGTATCTAAGGTCATAGATCACTTTTCAATTCAAACACATCATTATCCAAACATAATTCATATCACATAATTATTGATGGCGCCACGGGACCAATCGCATGCCCCGAACATGAGGGTTAATGCGTATAGCATTAACACGGCCCCGCAGCACCCTACCTCATACCGCGGCATTAAGGGAGTTGATCGCAACCAACCCATAGAGGACCGCTGACGAACTCAACGTCGGACCATAATCCTACACACCGCTGACGCGCACAGTCGGTGGACCAGGATCCCCCACTGACTCTTTTATAACAAATTCGTCCCGGGATCCTTTGTGGGACCCGAAACAATGCTTAGACACTTTTAAACGCAATTAACGACACCACGGAGGCAATTAATTGATCCAAAGCAAGAATTACGTATAACTCATCCAATTACGAATTCTAAACATAAACAACACCTGAACATGCGAATTCCCACCCAAATATATATCAAGAACATTACAACACAATTTCCCAATCCACCTTAGGGCTCTAATCCCTCCCAAATCATCGAAATCACAATTTATCTTTAACATCAAGAAATATCAGGATTTGTCAAGAATCATCACATCAATATCAAGAACCTCTTTTCAACATTAAGATCATCAAGATTATCAAGAATACACATAAATCATTTTATCAATCATCAAGAATTTATCACGAATAACATAGGGAGTTAATGAAGACACAAGCATATAGAAGGAGGCCAAGGAAGGAGATTATAGCTAAGAAAATAGGTTTTCTTGAGACATGGGTTACCTCTTAGCCTTAATTAATCCTCCCTTGGCTATTAAGGTTCTTCCCTAAGATTTCCATCCGTTTGATCTCCCTAGGCTTGGTGGTGGGGAGTCCCTTGGAAATTCTTGTGTGGTGATATCTATTGTGGTTTGACTTCTAGGTGCCTCCTATGTCCTTTTATATATATATATATATATATATATATATATATATATATATATATATATATATATATATATATATATATATATAGGAGTCTAATTAGGGTTCGAATGGTATGGGTTTACTAATTCTATCCCTTATAGGACTAAGGGGTTCATACAACTTCCACCTAGGTCAACGGGTTACCGATTCAACAAGCATGCAATTCCTAAGACTCTTTTACCCTACGAATGGTACCCGAAACATCAAACTAGACTCAAGTACGACAAACGGGGTCCGTTGGGACACCACGGGGAATGGGGAACATCAAATGGGGAAGCCAAAGACCCGGGGTGTGTACGGACCAGTGGGTTGCCGGTGGGTGGGGGTCACCCGCCGGAGATCATCGCCCGGGCAGCGGGTTGCCGGCGGGCGAACGCCTGTCCGCTGCCTGGCGGTGATCTTCGGGCAGCGGGTACCCCTACCCCCCACTGGCTCTTTTATCACAAATTCGTCCCGGGATCCTTTGCGGACCCGAAACCATGCTTAGACACTTTTAAACGCAATTAAAGACACCACGTAGGCAATTAATGGATCAAAAGCAAGAATTACGTATAACTCATCCTATTACGACTTCTAAACATAAAGAACACCTGAACATGCGAATTCCTACCCAAATATATATCAAGAACATTTCAACACAATTTCCCAATCCACCCTAAGGCTCTAATCCCTCCCAAATCATCAAAATCACAATTTGTCTTTAACATCAAGAAATATCAGGATTTGTCAAGAATCATCACATCAATATGAAGACCCTCTTTTCAACATTAAGATCATCAAGATTATCAAGAATACACATAAATCATTTTATCAATCATCAAGAATTTATCACGAATAGCATAGGGAGTTAATCAAGACACAAGCATATAGAAGGAGGCCAAGGAAGGAGATTATAGCGAAGAAAATAGGTTTTGTTGAGACAAAAGTTACCTCTTAGCCTTAATTAATCCTCCCTTGGCTATTAAGGTTCTTCCTTAAGATTTCCATCCGTTTGATCTCCCTAGGCTTGGTGGTGGGTAGTCCCTTTGGAATTCTTGTGTGGTGATATCTATTGTGGTGTGACTTCTAGGTGCCTCCTATGTCCTTATATATATATATATATATATATATATATATATATATATATATATATATATATATATATATATATATATATATATATATATACCTAGGAGTCCTAATTAGGGTCTGAATGGTATGGGTTTACTAATTCTATTCC